AAGAGTGATGATTAAAATGGACTTGGTTATTTTCGGTGTGACAAAATTCATTACCTTTTCTCTCTACACTTTATGATGATATCGAAGCACTAAAACGTCTGATGGCGATGCAAGAAACATGGCTGGTTCTGTGGAAGAAAATCTTGAAGTCACAACGAGTCTAAGAACGCTGCTGATAAATCCAAGAAACAAAATCACCACCGTAAAATTAACTGACTACAATTTCCTACTATGGAAATTTGAGGTACTTGCAGCATTACAAGGCAATGGTTTAGAGAGTTACATTAATGAAACTTCTAAAATACCACAACAGTACATTACTAGCACAGAACATTAGATGACTACACAAAGGCTAACATAAAGGAAAAGACAAGACAGGCTGATAATTTCATAGCTCTTGGATTCTGTTAGAGGAGATTCTTGTAGATCTTCCTCACTGCAAAACAACAAAAGAAATATGGAGCAGCCTTCGACAGATGTTTACTACAAGAAAAACTTGCCAAAGTAATGGAAATCAAGGCCAAACTTTAAAATATCAAGAAAGGTAATTCCAACATCAAAGATTATATACGCGAAATCAAGAATCTAGAGGATTCTTTACAAGCTACTGGAAAAATGGTTACAACAGAAGGTCATATTCTTCACATTTTTTCCGGACTAGGCTCAGAATACGAATCAACTATCTCTGTAATTACAACAAAATCAGGTGGAGTTACCTATCAAGAAATTACTTTGTTGCTTCTCTCCCATGAAAGTAGAATAGAAAAAGATATCGCCGTAGCAAACTACAAAAGATACAACTCTGCCATCAATCAAAGGTAGTGGTATTCGAGAAACACGGTACAGCGTCAGATTTGTCACAAATTTGGCCGGCTAATAGATGCTATTTTCGAGTACCAAATCTACCTAATTCTGTAGCTACCTGTTTGAGATTTTGAATTCGAAATAAATGGGAAGAGTGCAACTGTACACCCATTATAAGTAATAACTGGAATGAGTATTTCGAGTATCGATTCTCAGGGACTAATGTAATCTTTTCAATAAAAATGGTAATGATCCGAAAGGATGTAATTGATTGAAGGTGACAAATAACGGATGTGAATGTTGGTTTGTTGTTTTAAAACTAAATGAAATCAAACCCAGCTCCAAGTTACTTTAAATTAGCTAGAAAAATGTCGGGACTAGCTCGGGGCGCCTAGTGCCTCTCTTGTTATTTAACGACTATGCTTCTTAATCTCTTATAAGTGATCTCGAAGTGCTACGTTATTCCTAATATATCTATTAGAAAATCCCTTAATTAGTTTTAGCTTAAAAAATAGCCGCAACCTCGAGTTTGAGCAACTTGGTTTCGAGTGATAACATGTCAAGGTCCTATATCTGGGCTACTTGAACGGAACCTTTATATTAAAAGCTTTCCTCTCCTCTATTTAATCCCTTAAGTTGTAAAAACTTGCCAACCTTCACAGTATTAACTTTTTTCAAACTTTAATGGACCAAATTAAAACTTAAACTTTTTGAAAAATGACTTAGGAGATGAAAAAGTGAGAAAACACCCCTTTTACCCTTGTTGTCCCGTTTTAAAGATTTAGCTAATAATCTATAACTAAGACATGAAAATGAATTTAGCTCATATTTTTAAAGTAAAAACAGAATATAAAAGTTTTGCAAAAGGAAAACATAATTTGAAAACGAAATATTAAGAACAAGCTGCAAATGAAAAGTTTGCGATCCAAATGAACTTTACCATTTCTCTTTCAAGCTTCGGAGAAAGAACTTGTTCTATTCCACAATAATGTGCGATTATAAGATTCTCTTAACGTAAGAATGAAAATAAGAAGAACAAAGCTGGAATTTTATAATTTTAGGTTTCCAAAAGTGCAAGAAATAAAAATAAGCTGGAGTTTTGCTTACAAAAAAGATCTGACTTGGAGTTTAAGCTAAGGCAAAGATAAATTTAAGAACTATGGAATCTTAAATTATATTGAAGAACTCTAAAGAAGTTTGCAAAGTAATCAAGAAAGGAATGAAGCTTGATGAAAAGTGTTGAGTGAATGCTATAATTTATGGGCAGCATGCAATTGGTTAATTAGGTAGGTGAGAAATACGATCTCCACCCTTCGTTTCCAATCCCTTTGACCGACCCATTCTTGTTCAAGTACACTATACTACACTTGCTTGACACGTATAGAAGTTGAGAACTCGTCAGAACACTTGGGAACTTGCGTCTCATTAAGGGTAAAAATGGAAGAAAATAAGCTCGGAAAAGGTGTCTGGCGCTTCCCTTTATACCTCTGCACAAAAAGTTCGGTTTTCTTGTTAATTTTCCAACTCTAAATGATGCTAAAACTTAGTATTTGTATAAATAAACCATAGTTAAACAATATGCACGAATATAACATCAATTGGGCACACAAACAAGCCAAAACACAGTAGTTTTAAACAAAACAAAGTAAAACATTATAAATTCAACATCTTTTTACCCTTGTAAACAAGTCTAATCAGCATCTGGGAGATTGCAATACAATCAATCACCTCATGGATACAAATGTGAGCAATGTTAAATGGCACATATACCAACTTATATCCTGATTCCAGAACGACTAGTCACATTACTCATGACATGAATAATCTTACCCACTCTGGGTATTCCTCCCTTCACCCTCTAACCATATCTTTCATCTTCAAAATCTCCTTCATGTTTCATATGTTACCGAAAATCTCTTTAAGTGTTAGTCAATTTGCTAGAGACAATAAGGTATATTTTGTGTTAAGGGTGTTCACGGTATAGGTTGGGTTGGATTAAGGGTTATTTTTGAACCAACCCGAATTTTCGGGTTGATAAATCATTCTACCCAATGGAACCGAATCTACTGGACAACTGATAACTCTCCAAAAGAGAGTTATTCTAGTGTTTATTTGGGTAGTTTTATACAAGGAATTGTCAAAGTGTGTCGGTTTTCATGCACAATTAGCATAGAAAAGAGTAGAATATGGAATCCAAGCTAAAAGCCCAAGGTCTTGAATGCTGTAGCTAAATATTGCACTAAATGCTCTTATTTATGGTGTAAATGCACATGTTTGGATGCAAAAGACTAAGCATAAAGGAAGTGCAAAAATCCAGAGAAGAGTGGGCAGGATAATTTCGAGGTAGAGCAGATAAATGTTGGAGCGAAGTAGAGTTGGAGCATGGATTCACTGTGCAGTAATAGCCCAGACACAAGATTTACCGTGTCTGTATAATTTTCAGTTGGATGCCTTAAATTTGGAACCCGATATAAAAGGGGAGTGTTGTCCTAGCCGCCATAGGGAGATCCCAAGGGAAGCACGTTTTTTAGAGCTGAAACGACAAGGGAAAGCTGACGACAGGGGGGATATTCTGCTGCAATTTCGAGCTGTCATCTTCTTCTTCTTCAGTTTTTCTGCTATTTCCCTAAGATGAGTTGTCTTCTTCTTTTACCCATTTTATTTTCTTCTTCATTTATGAGCTAAACCCCATTTCGGGGGAGATTTCCATGCTGTAACTGCTGTAAACTGAACCTCTAACTGCTATATTAGTTTTTAAATGAAGTTGTATTAATTTCTAATATCTTATTGAGCATTATTGGCCACTTTGTTCTGTTTGCTTGCTTCCATATTGACCCGGGAGGGCTTATGGGTGCTGACTTGCTTCATTGGAAACTTAGCAACGGGAGTTGTGGGTTTTCATGTTCGGGTGTCTCGGAAGGGAACCAAGTCGAGTTGGGCATTAACGGATGTTTGTTAGTTAGAGGGTAGGTTGATAGGTTTGTGAATGGATGTGAATCTCCCCCACTTTTCCATATCTGTATTCTCCCCGTTTTCATATTCTGTGCGGGTTCTTCTACTTTACTTGTTCAAGTCACGAAAGAACATCTATACTTCTTTATTTTACGCTTTTGGTATTTGTGACCACTGTTTAAAATATCATCCAAAGTCCCTGTGGATTCGACCTCGTTTCGTACTACAATCGACATTTAGTGTATACTTGCACGTGTTGTCAGCACGGTTGTGTGGAAGCAACAAGTTTTTGGACCCAACCCTTATATTTTTGGGTCGGGTCGGGTCGGATTGTCGGGTTGTTTTTTTTTCCTTTCATCATTAGGTTTCAATAAAAAAAATCCTGAGATTGAGAGAGGTGAGAGAATGAGACTGTCAGATGGGAGGGAGATGGATAGAAGCCATGACATCCTGAGATTGGGGAAATTTGAATTTGTGACCCCTTCAATAACTGAAACTGGATAAATGACCCCATTTTTAAAAAACCTAATTTGTGACCCCTCCACCCCTTATTTATGATCCCTTAAATATTTTATTCATGGAAAAAGACCAATTTACCCTCATTGTTAATAAATGTGCATTTATGATTTCCACCTAACCATTTCACCAAACTGTAAACCCATATTTTACATATGTTTGAACTTGTTAATATTTTAGATTATGTATAACTCACAGATCACGTTTTCAAAATCCGCTCAACTACGTACGTGTTTGATCTTTCTTTGTCCCCACACTATCCAAAATCATTGTCCCCACAATTTCACTTGAGGTATGTTACCTTTACACAAACTTTTGTACTCTATAATTGTTGAACTTTTTTAAAATATTTTTCCATTAATAGGTTC